TGCAACAACTCTCAGGATATGGGACGTGTTTCTCTTTGAGGTGAGGCGCCACCTTGCTTTCAACTCAGTGGCATGGTTGTCGCGGTGTATTTGCGATCCATTGAGATGAGTGAGTCCCCTCCAAAAGCACAAGGGGAGGGGGGACGCCGTCCATGTACGCGTCTCAGTGGTTCATCACCGTCTTCGCCTACAGCTTCCCGTTTGCAACAACTCTCAGGATATGGGACGTGTTTCTCTTTGAGGTGAGGCGCCACCTTGCTTTCAACTCAGTGGCATGGTTGTCGCGGTGTATTTGCGATCCATTGAGATGAGTGAGTCCCCTGCAAAAGCACAAGGGGAGGGGGGACGCCGTCCATGTACGCGTCTCAGTGGTTCATCACCGTCTTCGCCTACAGCTTCCCGTTTGCAACAACTCTCAGGATATGGGACGTGTTTCTCTTTGAGGTGAGGCGCCACCTTGCTTTCAACTCAGTGGCATGGTTGTCGCGGTGTATTTGCGATCCATTGAGATGAGTGAGTCCCCTCCAAAAGCACAAGGGGAGGGGGGACGCCGTCCATGTACGCGTCTCAGTGGTTCATCACCGTCTTCGCCTACAGCTTCCCGTTTGCAACAACTCTCAGGATATGGGACGTGTTTCTCTTTGAGGTGAGGCGCCACCTTGCTTTCAACTCAGTGGCATGGTTGTCGCGGTGTATTTGCGATCCATTGAGATGAGTGAGTCCCCTCCAAAAGCACAAGGGGAGGGGGGACGCCGTCCATGTACGCGTCTCAGTGGTTCATCACCGTCTTCGCCTACAGCTTCCCGTTTGCAACAACTCTCAGGATATGGGACGTGTTTCTCTTTGAGGTGAGGCGCCACCTTGCTTTCAACTCAGTGGCATGGTTGTCGCGGTGTATTTGCGATCCATTGAGATGAGTGAGTCCCCTCCAAAAGCACAAGGGGAGGGGGGACGCCGTCCATGTACGCGTCTCAGTGGTTCATCACCGTCTTCGCCTACAGCTTCCCGTTTGCAACAACTCTCAGGATATGGGACGTGTTTCTCTTTGAGGTGAGGCGCCACCTTGCTTTCAACTCAGTGGCATGGTTGTCGCGGTGTATTTGCGATCCATTGAGATGAGTGAGTCCCCTCCAAAAGCACAAGGGGAGGGGGGACGCCGTCCATGTACGCGTCTCAGTGGTTCATCACCGTCTTCGCCTACAGCTTCCCGTTTGCAACAACTCTCAGGATATGGGACGTGTTTCTCTTTGAGGTGAGGCGCCACCTTGCTTTCAACTCAGTGGCATGGTTGTCGCGGTGTATTTGCGATCCATTGAGATGAGTGAGTCCCCTGCAAAAGCACAAGGGGAGGGGGGACGCCGTCCATGTACGCGTCTCAGTGGTTCATCACCGTCTTCGCCTACAGCTTCCCGTTTGCAACAACTCTCAGGATATGGGACGTGTTTCTCTTTGAGGTGAGGCGCCACCTTGCTTTCAACTCAGTGGCATGGTTGTCGCGGTGTATTTGCGATCCATTGAGATGAGTGAGTCCCCTCCAAAAGCACAAGGGGAGGGGGGACGCCGTCCATGTACGCGTCTCAGTGGTTCATCACCGTCTTCGCCTACAGCTTCCCGTTTGCAACAACTCTCAGGATATGGGACGTGTTTCTCTTTGAGGTGAGGCGCCACCTTGCTTTCAACTCAGTGGCATGGTTGTCGCGGTGTATTTGCGATCCATTGAGATGAGTGAGTCCCCTCCAAAAGCACAAGGGGAGGGGGGACGCCGTCCATGTACGCGTCTCAGTGGTTCATCACCGTCTTCGCCTACAGCTTCCCGTTTGCAACAACTCTCAGGATATGGGACGTGTTTCTCTTTGAGGTGAGGCGCCACCTTGCTTTCAACTCAGTGGCATGGTTGTCGCGGTGTATTTGCGATCCATTGAGATGAGTGAGTCCCCTCCAAAAGCACAAGGGGAGGGGGGACGCCGTCCATGTACGCGTCTCAGTGGTTCATCACCGTCTTCGCCTACAGCTTCCCGTTTGCAACAACTCTCAGGATATGGGACGTGTTTCTCTTTGAGGTGAGGCGCCACCTTGCTTTCAACTCAGTGGCATGGTTGTCGCGGTGTATTTGCGATCCATTGAGATGAGTGAGTCCCCTCCAAAAGCACAAGGGGAGGGGGGACGCCGTCCATGTACGCGTCTCAGTGGTTCATCACCGTCTTCGCCTACAGCTTCCCGTTTGCAACAACTCTCAGGATATGGGACGTGTTTCTCTTTGAGGTGAGGCGCCACCTTGCTTTCAACTCAGTGGCATGGTTGTCGCGGTGTATTTGCGATCCATTGAGATGAGTGAGTCCCCTCCAAAAGCACAAGGGGAGGGGGGACGCCGTCCATGTACGCGTCTCAGTGGTTCATCACCGTCTTCGCCTACAGCTTCCCGTTTGCAACAACTCTCAGGATATGGGACGTGTTTCTCTTTGAGGTGAGGCGCCACCTTGCTTTCAACTCAGTGGCATGGTTGTCGCGGTGTATTTGCGATCCATTGAGATGAGTGAGTCCCCTCCAAAAGCACAAGGGGAGGGGGGACGCCGTCCATGTACGCGTCTCAGTGGTTCATCACCGTCTTCGCCTACAGCTTCCCGTTTGCAACAACTCTCAGGATATGGGACGTGTTTCTCTTTGAGGTGAGGCGCCACCTTGCTTTCAACTCAGTGGCATGGTTGTCGCGGTGTATTTGCGATCCATTGAGATGAGTGAGTCCCCTCCAAAAGCACAAGGGGAGGGGGGACGCCGTCCATGTACGCGTCTCAGTGGTTCATCACCGTCTTCGCCTACAGCTTCCCGTTTGCAACAACTCTCAGGATATGGGACGTGTTTCTCTTTGAGGTGAGGCGCCACCTTGCTTTCAACTCAGTGGCATGGTTGTCGCGGTGTATTTGCGATCCATTGAGATGAGTGAGTCCCCTCCAAAAGCACAAGGGGAGGGGGGACGCCGTCCATGTACGCGTCTCAGTGGTTCATCACCGTCTTCGCCTATAGCTTCCCGTTTGCAACAACTCTCAGGATATGGGACGTGTTTCTCTTTGAGGTGAGGCGCCACCTTGCTTTCAACTCAGTGGCATGGTTGTCGCGGTGTATTTGCGATCCATTGAGATGAGTGAGTCCCCTCCAAAAGCACAAGGGGAGGGGGGACGCCGTCCATGTACGCGTCTCAGTGGTTCATCACCGTCTTCGCCTACAGCTTCCCGTTTGCAACAACTCTCAGGATATGGGACGTGTTTCTCTTTGAGGTGAGGCGCCACCTTGCTTTCAACTCAGTGGCATGGTTGTCGCGGTGTATTTGCGATCCATTGAGATGAGTGAGTCCCCTCCAAAAGCACAAGGGGAGGGGGGACGCCGTCCATGTACGCGTCTCAGTGGTTCATCACCGTCTTCGCCTACAGCTTCCCGTTTGCAACAACTCTCAGGATATGGGACGTGTTTCTCTTTGAGGTGAGGCGCCACCTTGCTTTCAACTCAGTGGCATGGTTGTCGCGGTGTATTTGCGATCCATTGAGATGAGTGAGTCCCCTCCAAAAGCACAAGGGGAGGGGGGACGCCGTCCATGTACGCGTCTCAGTGGTTCATCACCGTCTTCGCCTACAGCTTCCCGTTTGCAACAACTCTCAGGATATGGGACGTGTTTCTCTTTGAGGTGAGGCGCCACCTTGCTTTCAACTCAGTGGCATGGTTGTCGCGGTGTATTTGCGATCCATTGAGATGAGTGAGTCCCCTCCAAAAGCACAAGGGGAGGGGGGACGCCGTCCATGTACGCGTCTCAGTGGTTCATCACCGTCTTCGCCTACAGCTTCCCGTTTGCAACAACTCTCAGGATATGGGACGTGTTTCTCTTTGAGGTGAGGCGCCACCTTGCTTTCAACTCAGTGGCATGGTTGTCGCGGTGTATTTGCGATCCATTGAGATGAGTGAGTCCCCTCCAAAAGCACAAGGGGAGGGGGGACGCCGTCCATGTACGCGTCTCAGTGGTTCATCACCGTCTTCGCCTACAGCTTCCCGTTTGCAACAACTCTCAGGATATGGGACGTGTTTCTCTTTGAGGTGAGGCGCCACCTTGCTTTCAACTCAGTGGCATGGTTGTCGCGGTGTATTTGCGATCCATTGAGATGAGTGAGTCCCCTCCAAAAGCACAAGGGGAGGGGGGACGCCGTCCATGTACGCGTCTCAGTGGTTCATCACCGTCTTCGCCTACAGCTTCCCGTTTGCAACAACTCTCAGGATATGGGACGTGTTTCTCTTTGAGGTGAGGCGCCACCTTGCTTTCAACTCAGTGGCATGGTTGTCGCGGTGTATTTGCGATCCATTGAGATGAGTGAGTCCCCTCCAAAAGCACAAGGGGAGGGGGGACGCCGTCCATGTACGCGTCTCAGTGGTTCATCACCGTCTTCGCCTACAGCTTCCCGTTTGCAACAACTCTCAGGATATGGGACGTGTTTCTCTTTGAGGTGAGGCGCCACCTTGCTTTCAACTCAGTGGCATGGTTGTCGCGGTGTATTTGCGATCCATTGAGATGAGTGAGTCCCCTCCAAAAGCACAAGGGGAGGGGGGACGCCGTCCATGTACGCGTCTCAGTGGTTCATCACCGTCTTCGCCTACAGCTTCCCGTTTGCAACAACTCTCAGGATATGGGACGTGTTTCTCTTTGAGGTGAGGCGCCACCTTGCTTTCAACTCAGTGGCATGGTTGTCGCGGTGTATTTGCGATCCATTGAGATGAGTGAGTCCCCTCCAAAAGCACAAGGGGAGGGGGGACGCCGTCCATGTACGCGTCTCAGTGGTTCATCACCGTCTTCGCCTACAGCTTCCCGTTTGCAACAACTCTCAGGATATGGGACGTGTTTCTCTTTGAGGTGAGGCGCCACCTTGCTTTCAACTCAGTGGCATGGTTGTCGCGGTGTATTTGCGATCCATTGAGATGAGTGAGTCCCCTCCAAAAGCACAAGGGGAGGGGGGACGCCGTCCATGTACGCGTCTCAGTGGTTCATCACCGTCTTCGCCTACAGCTTCCCGTTTGCAACAACTCTCAGGATATGGGACGTGTTTCTCTTTGAGGTGAGGCGCCACCTTGCTTTCAACTCAGTGGCATGGTTGTCGCGGTGTATTTGCGATCCATTGAGATGAGTGAGTCCCCTCCAAAAGCACAAGGGGAGGGGGGACGCCGTCCATGTACGCGTCTCAGTGGTTCATCACTGTTTTCGCCCACAGCTTCCCCTTCGCAACTGCTCTCAGAATACTGTTATGTTCGCCTACACCTCCGAATACTGCGACGCGTACATGGAAGGCGAGGACGTGATCCTCCTCGAGGTGAGGGAGGGCCCGTCCTTGTTGATCCCTGTGTAGCCTTGGTTGGTTGAGTTTGAGATTTCTGCGTAAGAAGAGGCGATGAGTATCTTATCCCTTCCCCCCCTCCCACCATGGCAGGGCATGAAGACAGTGTTCCGGGTGGGACTGGCTCTGCTGAAGCAGCAACAGGACGATCTGGTATGCCCTGCCTCCCCATGCACTGTCATCAACTCTTCTCTCTCTCCCTCTCTTCTCCCGCTCCTCATTTGCACCCTTTTTTCCCATGCCTTGCTCTTGCTTTCACCCCACTTTTACGTTGATTAACCCCGAAACTTTTGTTTTTGCATGACCCCTCTGCTCTTCATTCGCCCTTTCAGCTGCAGATGCCCTTTGAGGACCTCGTGCCTGCTCTCAGTACGTACCTCTCACCTTGCTTCTGGCGGCCTCAACTCCCCCTCACCCAAAACTCCTTGTCACCACAACAATGCCTCATTCCACCCCCCAACAGCTGCAGATGCCGTTTGAGGACCTCGTGCCCGCCCTCAGGACGTATCCTGACCGCATCCTGGAGCCAGACACACTGCTCAACGTCGCCTTCTCCTTCAATGTACGCACTAGTGGGGGTTAGATTGTAGACATTGGGGGTTTAAGGGTTAACGCCTTGAGTTTGGAGCTTGGCTCTGATGATCTCATGTCAAGCAGGGCTCCCTTACGACCGCATACTGGAGCCCAACACGGGGTTAGGTATAGAGCTGGAGATGGGTGGAGTATATGGCAATGCAGCATCCATCCCCCATGGCAGGGATCAAGGCGCATGGGGAGGCAGAGTGTGCAGCGATAGAGAGTCACTGTGCAACTATCCCTTTCCCTGTGTGCAATCTCCCTCCCCTTCTGTCCTTGCAGGTCTCAGAGCGGTTGAGGGAGCTAGAGGCTGAGTACAATGCGATGCAGCACCCTCCGCCCATAGCAGGGCCCACGGCTCATGGGGAGGGGGAAGGGGGAAGGCAGCAATGTAGGGCTTTCCCCCTCTGTGCATCCATCCCTCCCCTTTTGTCCTTGCAGGTCTCTGAGCGGCTAAGGGAGCTGGAGGCAGAGTACAATGCGATGCAGCACCATCTGTGTGCAATGACCCTCCCTCTGCTGTGTTTGATGCTCCTCTTTGTCCTCCCAGGTCTCAGAGCGGCTGAGGGAGCTGGAGGCAGAGTACAATGCGATGCAGCACCCACCGCCCATCACAGGGCCCAAGGCACATGGGGAGGCGGAGGAGGGGGAGAGGCACGAGGGGCAAGGAGGGGAGGGGCACCAACGGAAAGGTAGGGGTGGGAGAATGAAAGGGGGAGTGCATGAGTTATTAGGCGCTTCATACAGATTCATTGGGGGGGTTGAGGGAGGTAATTCTTCGCTGCCTCATGTACAGTCTGCGCAACTTCCTCTGCAATCTTCCCCTGTTCCTCATCTTCTCTTTCCCCTGTTCCTCATCTTCTCTTTCCCCTGTTCCTCATCTTCTTTCCCCTGTTCCTCATCTTCTCTTTCCCCTGTTCCTCATCTTCTCTTTCCCCTGTTCCTCATCTTCTCTTTCCCCTGTTCCTCATCTTCTCTTTCCCCTGTTCCTCATCTTCTTTCCCCTGTTCCTCATCTTCTTTCCCCTGTTCCTCATCTTCTCTTTCCCCTGTTCCTCATCATCTCTTTCCCCTGTTCCTCATCTTCTCTTTCCCCTGTTCCTCATCTTCTCTTTCCCCTGTTCCTCATCTTCTCTTTCCCCTGTTCCTCATCTTCTCTTTCCCCTGTTCCTCATCTTCTCTTTCCCCTGTTTCTCATCTTCTCTTTCCCCTGTTCCTCATCTTCTCTTTCCCCTGTTCCTCATCTTCTCTTTCCCCTGTTCCTCATCTTCTCTTTCCCCTGTTCCTCATCTTCTCTTTCCCCTGTTCCTCATCTTCTCTTTCCCCTGTTCCTCATCTTCTCTTTCCCCTGTTCCTCATCTTCTCTTTCCCCTGTTCCTCATCTTCTCTTTCCCCTGTTCCTCATCTTCTCTTTCCCCTGTTCCTCATCATCTCTTTCCCCTGTTCCTCATCTTTTCTTTCCCCTGTTCCTCATCTTCTCTTTCCCCTGTTCCTCATCATCTCTTTCCCCTGTTCCTCATCTTCTCTTTCCCCTGTTCCTCATCTTCTCTTTCCCCTGTTCCTCATCTTCTCTTTCCCCTGTTCCTCATCTTCTTTCCCCTGTTCCTCATCTTCTCTTTCCCCTGTTCCTCATCTTCTCTTTCCCCTGTTCCTCATCTTCTCTTTCCCCTGTTCCTCATCTTCTCTTTCCCCTGTTCCTCATCTTCTCTTTCCCCTGTTCCTCATCTTCTCTTTCCCCTGTTCCTCATCTTCTTTCCCCTGTTCCTCATCTTCTCTTTCCCCTGTTCCTCATCTTCTCTTTCCCCTGTTCCTCATCATCTCTTTCCCCTGTTCCTCATCTTTTCTTTCCCCTGTTCCTCATCTTCTCTTTCCCCTGTTCCTCATCATCTCTTTCCCCTGTTCCTCATCTTCTCTTTCCCCTGTTCCTCATCTTCTCTTTCCCCTGTTCCTCATCTTCTCTTTCCCCTGTTCCTCATCTTCTCTTTCCCCTGTTCCTCATCTTCTCTTTCCCCTGTTCCTCATCTTCTCTTTCCCCTGTTCCTCATCTTCTCTTTCCCCTGTTCCTCATCTTCTCTTTCCCCTGTTCCTCATCTTCTCTTTCCCCTGTTCCTCATCTTCTCTTTCCCCTGTTCCTCATCTTCTTTCCCCTGTTCCTCATCTTCTCTTTCCCCTGTTCCTCATCTTCTCTTTCCCCTGTTCCTCATCATCTCTTTCCCCTGTTCCTCATCTTTTCTTTCCCCTGTTCCTCATCTTCTCTTTCCCCTGTTCCTCATCATCTCTTTCCCCTGTTCCTCATCTTCTCTTTCCCCTGTTCCTCATCTTCTCTTTCCCCTGTTCCTCATCTTCTCTTTCCCCTGTTCCTCATCTTCTTTCCCCTGTTCCTCATCTTCTCTTTCCCCTGTTCCTCATCTTCTCTTTCCCCTGTTCCTCATCTTCTCTTTCCCCTGTTCCTCATCTTCTCTTTCCCCTGTTCCTCATCTTCTCTTTCCCCTGTTCCTCATCTTCTCTTTCCCCTGTTCCTCATCTTCTCTTTCCCCTGTTCCTCATCTTCTCTTTCCCCTGTTCCTCATCTTCTCTTTCCCCTGTTCCTCATCTTCTCTTTCCCCTGTTCCTCATCTTCTCTTTCCCCTGTTCCTCATCTTCTCTTTCCCCTGTTCCTCATCTTCTTTCCCCTGTTCCTCATCTTCTCTTTCCCCTGTTCCTCATCTTCTTTCCCCTGTTCCTCATCTTCTCTTTCCCCTGCTCCTCATCTTCTCTTTCCCCTGTTCCTCATCTTCTCTTTCCCCTGTTCCTCATCTTCTCTTTCCCCTGTTCCTCATCTTCTCTTTCCCCTGTTCCTCATCTTCTCTTTCCCCTGTTCCTCATCTTCTTTCCCCTGTTCCTCATCTTCTCTTTCCCCTGTTCCTCATCTTCTCTTTCCCCTGTTCCTCATCATCTCTTTCCCCTGTTCCTCATCTTTTCTTTCCCCTGTTCCTCATCTTCTCTTTCCCCTGTTCCTCATCTTCTCTTTCCCCTGTTCCTCATCATCTCTTTCCCCTGTTCCTCATCTTTTCTTTCCCCTGTTCCTCATCTTCTCTTTCCCCTGTTCCTCATCATCTCTTTCCCCTGTTCCTCATCTTCTCTTTCCCCTGTTCCTCATCTTCTCTTTCCCCTGTTCCTCATCTTCTCTTTCCCCTGTTCCTCATCATCTCTTTCCCCTGTTCCTCATCTTCTCTTTCCCCTGTTCCTCATCTTCTCTTTCCCCTGTTCCTCATCTTCTCTTTCCCCTGTTCCTCATCTTCTTTCCCCTGTTCCTCATCTTCTCTTTCCCCTGTTCCTCATCTTCTCTTTCCCCTGTTCCTCATCTTCTCTTTCCCCTGTTCCTCATCTTCTTTCCCCTGTTCCTCATCTTCTCTTTCCCCTGTTCCTCATCTTCTCTTTCCCCTGTTCCTCATCATCTCTTTCCCCTGTTCCTCATCTTTTCTTTCCCCTGTTCCTCATCTTCTCTTTCCCCTGTTCCTCATCTTCTCTTTCCCCTGTTCCTCATCATCTCTTTCCCCTGTTCCTCATCTTTTCTTTCCCCTGTTCCTCATCTTCTCTTTCCCCTGTTCCTCATCATCTCTTTCCCCTGTTCCTCATCTTCTCTTTCCCCTGTTCCTCATCTTCTCTTTCCCCTGTTCCTCATCTTCTCTTTCCCCTGTTCCTCATCATCTCTTTCCCCTGTTCCTCATCTTCTCTTTCCCCTGTTCCTCATCTTCTCTTTCCCCTGTTCCTCATCTTCTCTTTCCCCTGTTCCTCATCTTCTTTCCCCTGTTCCTCATCTTCTCTTTCCCCTGTTCCTCATCTTCTCTTTCCCCTGTTCCTCATCTTCTCTTTCCCCTGTTCCTCATCTTCTCTTTCCCCTGTTCCTCATCTTCTCTTTCCCCTGTTCCTCATCTTCTCTTTCCCCTGTTCCTCATCTTCTCTTTCCCCTGTTCCTCATCTTCTTTCCCCTGTTCCTCATCTTCTCTTTCCCCTGTTCCTCATCTTCTCTTTCCCCTGTTCCTCATCATCTCTTTCCCCTGTTCCTCATCTTTTCTTTCCCCTGTTCCTCATCTTCTCTTTCCCCTGTTCCTCATCATCTCTTTCCCCTGTTCCTCATCTTCTCTTTCCCCTGTTCCTCATCTTCTCTTTCCCCTGTTCCTCATCTTCTCTTTCCCCTGTTCCTCATCTTCTTTCCCCTGTTCCTCATCTTCTCTTTCCCCTGTTCCTCATCTTCTCTTTCCCCTGTTCCTCATCTTCTCTTTCCCCTGTTCCTCATCTTCTCTTTCCCCTGTTCCTCATCTTCTCTTTCCCCTGTTCCTCATCTTCTCTTTCCCCTGTTCCTCATCTTCTCTTTCCCCTGTTCCTCATCTTCTCTTTCCCCTGTTCCTCATCTTCTCTTTCCCCTGTTCCTCATCTTCTTTCCCCTGTTCCTCATCTTCTCTTTCCCCTGTTCCTCATCTTCTTTCCCCTGTTCCTCATCTTCTCTTTCCCCTGCTCCTCATCTTCTCTTTCCCCTGTTCCTCATCTTCTTTCCCCTGTTCCTCATCTTCTTTCCCCTGTTCCTCATCTTCTTTCCCCTGTTCCTCATCTTCTTTCCCCTGTTCCTCATCTTCTTTCCCCTGTTCCTCATCTTCTTTCCCCTGTTCCTCATCTTCTTTCCCCTGTTCCTCATCTTCTTTCCCCTGTTCCTCATCTTCTTTCCCCTGTTCCTCATCTTCTTTCCCCTGTTCCTCATCTTCTTTCCCCTGTTCCTCATCTTCTTTCCCCTGTTCCTCGTCTTCTTTCCCCTGTTCCTCATCTTCTTTCCCCTGTTCCTCATCTTCTTTCCCCTGTTCCTCATCTTCTTTCTCCTTGCCCTTATCCTTGCCCTTATCCTTGCCCTTATCCTTGCCCTTATCCTTGCCCTTATCCTTGCCCTTATCCTTTCCCTTATCCTTGCCCTTATCCTTGCCCTTATCCTTGCCCTTATCCTTGCCCTTATCCTTGCCCTTATCCTTTCCCTTATCCTTGCCCTTATCCTTGCCCTTATCCTTGCCCTTATCCTTGCCCTTATCCTTGCCCATCCCTTGGCCTGTCCTCCAATGTGCCCACCACCTCGCCTTCTCCCGTCTCCAGGATCCCGATTCCAGCTCCGCCAGAGAATCAAATCTGCATTTTCCCGCCCGCCCAAAGCATGATAGACTGCAGCCCATCACCCAAGTATGCTGCCGCAGCTGTTCTTTCATGCTCAGCTTTCCGCCTCCGCGTATCACCCTTCCCTGCACACGGCGTGGGTGGGCTCACAACTCCCTTCAAGCCACCAAACTTGCAACCACACCCACTCACAGCTAAGCCTCCCCTCTGCTGAGGCTGCACGGCACGCACACCACCCAGCCCTCCTCCGCATCCCATTTCGCAGTTCAGAGCCGCCCTCTTGAGCCCTTTCCCCGTCATTTCTCAGCCTGTCTACCAGCGCCCAACCCCCCACGCTCCCTCACATGCCTCCGGCAATCGCTGCTCGTCACTGCATGCCATGGCCCCGGGAAAGGCTGCTCTGTCGTGGTGCATGTAACAAAGAACTGTAACATATTCCTTAGTAAACTGCGGGACCTGCTGTTTCGTGAAGTGAATCTCTGCCTCATGTGTCTGGTCTGGTTAAGCGCTGGCAGCCAGCTGCAGTTCTTTATCTTCACTACCTGCTCTGTTACTCTCCCCATTTGGTTTTGTCCCTGTGCTGTCTCTGGTGTGTGTTAGCTGGTACCGTATTACCAGCATGACAGCTGGTACTGGTAGGTTCAGTTCCTGCTGCTTTATATACTGTAGCGTACCATTTTGGGTTTGCAATAACGTAGGTGTTTGTGTTGTATTTTGTCTAGTATGGATATATAATTCAATTCATTCTTCATGAAAGGCAGGCACGATTCAAACCAAACACAGCAGCAGCTCATCTCATCAACAGCCTCAACAACACGAACTATCCTGAAGCAGGGCTGCAACAGTGGTTGGGACAAGTGCATGTTCATCACCAAGCCTCAGCAGCAGCATTGGATTGCTTGCAGCATTTGATTGTTTCCAACAGCACACACCCCGAGCCGAGCCAGTTAAGAGCCAGACAAGATGTGATGCATTCACGGAGCAGCATCAGAATAGAAGCATGGCTGGAGCACCAGGTGGTATGGTAAGTGGGTCGATGCCCCAGCATATGGCTGCTGCACTCTCAGTGTGACACTGTGTATGCTATTACTAGAGCTAAGTTCCCAGTGAGGGCAAACACCTTAAGGTGCCGAACGGGTCTGTTAGGTACGGTAGGCACGGATGCAAATGCAAAGCAGAAACACATGCTTTGCCATACTCAGGCTGTCTGTCTGTCACCTACCACAAAGAGAGATCAATTAGGACAATCGCAGCAAAGGAAGAGGGATGGTAGCTGTTCGAGACAGGCTCCTGACCAGCACACCCCAAGCTGCCTCCGCTGCTGCCAAGAGGGCGGGGACTTGCGGGGGAAGGTGGGGCAGCAGGGGTCCCGCCACCCTGATACAGTCACGCAGGAGCATGACTGTAGTGGGCACGAGGGAGGGGAGGACTGTGGCACATCGGACGGCGGAGGGGAGGGCCGAGGAGAGGAAGTGGGTGGCAGCAGCCGTGTAGGTGAGCGTGTGGGCAAGCAGGCGAAGCACCTGGTTTGGATGGGTGGGAGGTGGTGTGGTGGGGTGGCCGGGGGGAAGTGTGGGGACACATACAGGGGGATGAGAGGGGTATGAGGACGAATGAGCAAGGTGGAAAGCATGTGGGGTGGATGGGAGTGGAGGAAAGGCTGACAGAGAGAGGGGAGGGCGGTTGAGAAGAAGAGCGGACGAGTGAGAGGGTGATGGTGCAGGGGAGATGCACTCACATAGGAGGCGAGGGGCAGAGCGTCGGGTGCATTGCTGCAGCACACAGCATACTCCGCCACTAGAGCCACCCCCATGAGCTGGCGTGCCATGATTGGCTGCTGCAGCAGCTCCCGTGCGAGGGCTGGGAGAAGGGAGCGTGTGGCTGGGGAGGCTGCAACCAGGGGAGGTACACATGTGAGAGAAAAGCCCTGCAGGAGAAGAAAGAGGGATAGAGGGGCAGAGGGACAGAGGGACAGAGCGCCAGAGGGGCAAAGGGGCAGAGGGACAGAGGGACAGAGAGAGAGAGAGCCAACCCCTTGGCGAAAACCGCCAAGAAAATGGCCTGCCACTTCAGCCAGCGCTGGTCAGTGGCCCTCCAGCGCTCTCAGGCGAATGCCCTGCACACCAAGGCCAGGGCAGGGATCAAGGCGGCGCACCCCCAGATGGCAGCAGACCCATGGCCGCTGCACCTAGGGGACATCCTCCACACGCTGGAGGGGTAGAGGGTCACTTAGGGGGGAGGAGGGTCAGAGGGATGGGTCAATGGGTCAGAGGGTCTAAGGGAGCCACGAGTCAAACCATATGTTTGTACCCCCGCTGAATTAATACAAAGGACCATTTGAGAGAGAAGGACGAAGGGCACGTATTGTGGCACATTTGCCAGAACGCATTGCGCGTGATGAGGGAGAGACGGCAAAAAGCAACCAAAGGTGGAATGGCTTCGAACATCAACTTGGAAGAGCAGGAAGGTACCTGGAAGGTGAGGAGGCGGAGCAACAGTGGGTGTTGGGCGATGAGTTGATCTAGGAAGGCGAAGAGCATGGCCTGGCACGCTCGCACATCACTGCCCTGCTGCCCCGCCTGCCACCGCTGCCTCTGTAGCTCATGCCTTTGTTGCTGACGCATCTTCCTCCATAGCCCTTTTTCCCCTTCCTCCTCCCCTACCCCCTCCTCCTCCCTTTCCTCCCCACCCTCCTCACCCTCCTGCTCGCCCTCCTCCTCACGCTCCTCATCCTCCTCTCCTTCCACCTCCTCCAACCTCTCAGCAATCTGGTCCACCCTCTCGCCCTCCTCCTCGCCTTCCTCCTGCAACTCACCACACATCTCCAAAACCATCTGAGCCACCACCCCCACCATCGCCACCACCCCATTCTCCACCTCCTCTCCACTCATCCGCTTTCCCAGCCTCGCCACAACCCCTTTGCTCAACCCCAACCCCACACCGAAACCCGAACCCACACCAGCACCAGGACCAGTCTGATTAGATCCTTTGCCTTCTTCGGATCCTGCCCTTGCCCCCCCTTTCCCTGCAACCACTCCTCCTCTCTCCCCTTTCTCCGCTGCTCCGGCTCCCCCTCTAGCCAGACCAGCAGTACCAGCAGCGGCAATGCTCCCACCTTTCCCAACCTTCTCTCCATCACCATTTGTACCCCCCCCACCGTTTTCCCCGCCTGCTCCCTCTGCCAGCTCAGCAACGCACGCCCTGCGGAAATCGTCCAGCTGGCGCGTCAGGATTGGCAGGAGGAGGCCGGAGAGGAGAGGAGGGGAGCGGAAGAGGAGGGGGTGGGAGGAGAGGAGGCGGAGGGGGAGAGTGAGGGCGTCTAGAGGGTGGGGGGGGCGGACGGGGAGGGAAGGAGGAGGTGGGGAGGGAGAAAATACTGGAAACAAGAAGGAAGGAGGGGAGGTGGAAGGTAGAGGTGGTGGGGAATGTGTGGAGAGAGGGAGTGGGGGAGAAGGCGAGAGGGAGAAGGGGGAGGGAGAGGAGGGAGGAGGGAAGTTCTGAGCTGGAATAGCTTCAACCACAGCTGGCATGAGAGCAAGATATCCCAGAGGGGGGATTCGGCTCCACCAATGGCAGAATGACACCTGGATAGCCCTCAGGTCCAGGATGGAGTGTGCTTGCTGCGAGTGCGACTGTAAGAGAGAAGGAAGCAGGCTGTTGATAATGACAAGCTCTGCCGCCCAATCCCTGACGTCAAACCCTGCGTCGGCCAGGGAGGCACTGGAAAACTTTCCCCTGCCTGTGTGCCTGCCCCTTTGCTTGCCCGTGATGCCTTTAGCAGCAGGCTGGGAGGCAGAGAGGGAGAGCGAGAGGGATAGAGAGAGCGGGAATTGGTAGGAATCGAGGAGAGCACAGAGAAGAATGGGAAACTCTTCCCGCTCACGCTGCTGCTGCTGCTGCTGCTGCTGCTGCTGCTGCTGCTGCTGCTGCTGCTGCTGCTGCTGCTGCTGCTGCTGCTGCTGCTGGCGGTGAATTGCATGGTCAGAGTGTGAGGCATGGAGGCCGTAGGCCAGAGCCCACTCGAGCGCCTGCAGCAGGTGATCAGGGCGAACGGACTCACGCACAGGGCTTGAAGTGAAGGAGATGAGAGGGGCGTTGGGACTGTTGGGAATGTCTGGGAGTAGGAGGGTTTGCAGGAGGGTATAGAGGATGCCTAGTGCGTGCTGATGTGGCAGACTGCCATCTGGCACTGTTGTTCCGTTTGTTGGAGTTGCAGCCAGGCGAGCTGAAGTGGATAATGTGGGGGATGATGTGGCGTTGGAATGTGCTGACGTGGCAGGGAGGGAGGGAGGGAGGAGGAGGTTGAGGTAGGGGAAGGTGCAGAGGGCTTTGGGGCGGGCGAGTGTGTGGAGAGGAGGGGGAGGAGGGCTTGTGAGGGAAGATGAATTGAAGGTGTCGAGATTTGTTGGTAAGGGCAGTCGAGGTGGCTGCCCGGGAAAATCGGGCAGCAGAGAAAACGCCAGAGACTGCCACTGCAAGCAGGAACGAGAATTCACAGGAAAAATGGGTTTTGAAAATATTGTACGCTGGGATATGTTGGCAAAAAGCCCAGTGAAAAGAGATTTGGCTATCGCGGAGAGAGAAAAAGGGAGAGAAATGAAAGTGACAGAAAGGCGGAGGAGTAGAATGAAAAAGAGAAAGATGTATTGTTAGGAAGAAATGGAGTGGGGAACAGAGAGTAAACTTAACATCAGTTATCCAGAAACCTCACAATGGGCATGGGCGGGAGAAGGCATGGAATAATATCTCACTTCAAAGGCAACAAGCAGGGCGTGCCAGCCAGAGGACCCGCAGCAGTAGTGGTGGTAGCAGCGCAACACACAGTGGGCAACAGATGGCAAACAAGCCGCACTCTCAAAAGCTGCAACACTCACAGTGGGCATGAGAGGGGCGAAGTCGAGGAACCTCTCTTCCATTGCAGCAAGCAGGGTGTGCCAGGGCAGGGCTCGCATCAGCAGCTGCCACCACTGCTGCACTGGCAGGGCCCGAATCACCACTGCACGGCATGCCTGCACCGATCCCCTGCTCCCTGCCATTGCCGTCCTTGCACTTCCAATCCTGCCACTCCTTCCACTGCCCTCCTCTCGCTCGTCTTCCACCTCTTTCTCCTCCTCTTCGCCCCCCTCTCCTCCCTCGCTTCCCTCTTCCCCTTCCGTCCACTCCTCTCCCACTTCTGGCAGCACGAATTCAGCCCCTGCACGTCCTTTCTTGCCCTGCACGCCCTCTGCCCCTCTCCTCTCCCCTCCCTCCTGCGTCCCTCTCCTCTCCCCCGCTTCTTGCACCCCTCTACTATCCCCACTCTCCCGCGCCCCTCGCTTCCTCTGCATCTCCTGCTCCCACAGCAGCACATACAGCGACCCCAACGCCCCCCGTGCCAACACCCTCTCCTCCTCACCCCAGCACATCTCCTCCAACCGCATAGTACCACTCATGTCTCCATTCCCACCCATCACCCCACCTCTTGACTCTGATTCGTTTTCCAAGGATGCAAGTTGGTGTGGAAGTTGTGTGGGGAGAAGGGGGGAGAGCAGAGCAGTGGGTGGGATGCCTGAGGTGGTGAGAAGGCAGGCCGGCCAAATGAGACGAAGGAGGGCTGAGCGAGAGAGGGGTTGGATGGCAGGGGTGAGAGGGCGTGTGGTGTGGGGGGAGAGGGTGGGAGTGGTGTTTGGAATGGTGGGGGAGGAGGTGGGGTGGAGGGGGGAGCGGGAGGGGTGCGAGGGGGACGGGTGGGCGGAGGAGGGGTGGGACGGGGAGGGGTGGGAACGGGGGACGTGAGAAGGGGAAGCGCGGGAGGGGGAGGGGTGCGAGGAGGGGAGAGAATAATGCGGGTGTGCCGGGGGGTGGCCGGAGGGGGGATGCGAGACGGGCGTGCGGGAGGGGTTAGGTGGAGGAACGGGGAGGGACGCGGAAGCAAGAGCAGAGACGAAGGAGGAGAGGAGGGAGGGGAATACGGGATGGATGGGGAGGGAGGCGGCATAGAGGCAGCGGAAGACAGGCGGGGTGGGGTTGATGTGGTGGAGGGCGAAGAGATGTGCTTGTAGCAGTAGATGCACACACTCTGCTGCCCGCACTGCTGCTGTCTGCGCTGCTGGTGCTCGCCGTGTTTCTGCTGGTTTGTCCACTGAGCCGGTGCAATTTCGGACCGTACTGTGGGCTTGGTTTGGCAAGCGCACGGATCCAACACACGGGTGTAGCGCTGCCACTGCTCTGACCACCTGCTTTGCAGAGAATAACGCAGGAGATGTAGCAGCAGTGCCGGCATTGTCACTGCCAGCAGAAGAAGCAGCATGATCGCGAGTGGCAGAGGCAGGAGGTGCAACAGCAGTGGCAGCAGTGCTGTTTGCATTCACGTTGAAACTTCCGCCACCTATTGCCGTGCCGGCAAGAAAGGTGAGTGAGGCGGTATTCACAGTCACAGGGAAGCTCAGGGTTTGCTGAATGAGCTGTGGACGGGGTAGAGACATGATAAGGGAGGCAGGGGGGAAGGGAAGGGGAAAGTGAACAGGTGGTTACAGGAGCCTCAAATGGCAAGTAGTGGGAGTGTGCACATACAGCAAGCTCATATGTACATTCATACAAACATTCACTTGCATCCACGTGCACACAAACACACGCACCTGTACCAGAGCGTCATGTCCTTTAAGCATCAGCTGCACCAGCACCCACAGCACCAGCACCTCGCTGCCCACATAGAACTCACACTCACACTCACGTGCACGTGCACACAAGCACACGCACCTGTACCAGAGCTTCATGCCTCTTGAGCATCAGCTGCACCAGCACCCAAACCACCAGCACTTCGCTGCCTCCTCTTCCCCCTCGCTCTGCCCCACCACTCCCCCATCCCCCCTCCTCTGCCCCCCCACTCCCCTCGGTGGCTCTGATTTGCTGTTGCTTTGAGGAAGAAGGTGTGGAACTGTTGTGAGACAGGGTGAGCGAGAGAGGCGCTGAGAGAATAGCACGTGCTGCTTGCAGGTAAAGAGTGTGGAGGAGAGGTGAGGAGGCGAGGGAGGGCAGGATGAGGGAGAGGAGGGAGAGAGAGAGGAGCACGAGCTCTTCAGGGATGAAGCAGGGTGCAGCCCCTGCAGCCCCTGCAGCCCCTGCAGCCCCTGCAGCCCCTGCAGCCCCTTCCTTGCTGTGCTGCTGATGGTGCTGGTGCTGCTGCCTGTCCTGGGACATCTTGGTGGGGTTTCCTGCTGTGGCTTGCACGATTGCTGACAGCCAAAACGACACCTGCAGCAACAGCAGCAGCAGCAGTGAAGGTGAGGAAGGGAAGGGCAACAAGAAAACTGGAAAAAGATGCTCGCATTATCCTGCCTAAATGCATGCACACCTCTTTGGCTGCCAGGCTGTCATGTGTAGCCTCTTCCAGCCGCACCACACCGCACCCGCACAACAGACAAAACACCCGCAGGCGCTGCGACAGTTCTGCTGACCATCTGCCGGCCGACTTTTGAGACGCCTCAACAGCCACCCCGCCGCCCTCCTTCAGACGCTCCTGTCCCTGCGAGCCCATTCTCCCTGCCATGCCACCACCACCCTTTTCCTGCTTCTCCTCCGTCCCTGTACCCTCCCCCTCACCCTCACCCTTACCCTCCCCACCCTCCCCACTCTCCACACGCCCCCAACCATGCCCCAGCCTCACATCCAGACCCACTCTCTCCGCCTCTGCCTCCGCTCCTCGCAGCAAAGCCGACCTGGCACGCCACATGACGCATTCCGATTGGCGGCCAGCAGCACCCACCACCCCACTTGTCTCCTGTTGCTCCTTCATCCCCACTCCTTGGGCATGTGAAACTAACGGCCCTTTTGTTGCATAGAAGAAATCCTGTGGATCAAATGCACTGAGGCACAGGAGTGATTGTAATGGGACGCTTCTTCTTGAAAGCAACACGTCCTCTGCTTCTCCCTCCCTCTCCCTCTCCTTCTCCCTCGCCTTCTCCCTCTCCCCTTGCTCTGCATGTCTCCTCACTGCATCCCCTTCCTTCTTTCCGCCTCTTTCCTCCCCTCCATCTCTCCTCTCTTCTTCCCCTTGTCCTATTTCCCTCCCTGGCAGCCTGTAAGGCGCTATAAGGAACCTCCAGCAACTGCTTCTGGCCAATTGGGGATCGGAGAGAGGAGGCAGGGAAGAGAGGAAGAACGCCAGCTCATCACCAATCAGATCCACCGTGATCTGCACTGCCAGCTCAGCAAGCACGCGCTGACTCAGCAACGCCGCCCGGCACGCCTTGGGAACCGCAAGAGGGTCTTCCAGCAACACGGGACCCGTAGATTTAGCCGTGGATCTGCTTGTTGACGTGGCAGCTGTAGCGGCAGACAGCTGGCAGATGCAGACCATGGCGAGAGAAGCTGCACGGAAGGTGCATGAGGCCCATTTTGTAGCAGTAAGACGAGCAGTGAGGGGGGTGGCAGTGCCGGTTGTGCTTGCCCGAGCATGGGTGTGAGCAGGGGAGCGAGCAGCTGAGGTAGGAGGAGGGGGAAGCGAGGATGGCAAAGGGGGGTGATGGTGGGAGGTGTGCTTATGATCTGCATAGTGTTGAATGGGACCCACCACACCAGGGAGCAACCCCTGTGCCTGCCGGTGCTGTAGCTCTTTCAGTGGGGGCGGCTTAGAGGAGAAGCTTCCAGGAAAGGCAAACGCATGCGGCCGCTTTGGACGCAGGGTCTGCTTAGCACCAGCACCAGTGCCAGTGGCAGTACCAGCAGCACCAGTACCAGTGGCAGCCCCGGCACCAGCAGCAGTGACAGCAGCACCAGTAGTGGCACCTTGCCTGCCTGCTGCCATGGGGTCTCTAGCATCCCTACCCGTAGTAGCAGCAGCAGCAGCGCCCCAATGGGTGCGATTGGGTTGCGGTTCAGGGTGAGACGATGGTGGGGAGGGTCGAGAGTGGGGAATGGACGAAGGTGTGGATGGAGATGTTTGGCCCAGGACTCGAGCGAGAAGCTTGATCGCGGAGGTTCGGAACTGCGGAGAGGTTTGGAGCACCAAGCCTGCAATCAGGCTCGGGCCGAGCCTTGAAGCCAGCAGTCCGAGAACAGCCAGACCTGTTGAACGAAGGGAGAGGGCCGAGACAGGAACTAGGTGACTTCTCAATGCAGGAAAGGGATTGGAATTCAAAGAAATTTTGAGAGATGAATGTAAGGAGCGTATTAAAAAAGTGGGGGAAAATATTACATTGTAGCGTTGTCTGTGTGTTACGAGTGGCTGACCTGGCGGCAGGAGAGAGGGGCACTTGAGCGCCAGTGCTGGCAGCAGGCAGAGCAGCTCTGGGAGAAACACAGGATCGTCAAATAGCCTCCTCTCCTCCTCCTCCTCCTCCTCCTCCTCCTCCTCCTCCTCCTCCTCCTCCTCCTCCTCCTCCTCCTCCTCCTCCTCCTCCGCCTCCTCCTCCTCCTCCTCCTCCTCCTCCTCCTCCTCCTCCTCCTCCTCCTCCTCCTCCTCCTCCTCCTCCCCCTCCACCCCTCTGCACCGCTCTCTAACCATTCGCGAGGCAGCAACACCCATCAATTCCTCCTCAAGACCTCCCAGGCCCCACTTCCCCAACCCTCCTCTCCCCCACACAACCCCCCCAGCTAACTGCCCCCACACTCCTCTCTTTCCCTTCCCTTCCCTGCCACGCCTCAACCTCAGCTTCTCCCACTCCTCTTCCTCCTCCTCCGCTCCTCCTGTCCCTCCTGCCACCGCCCGACGTTCACGCATGTGGACAAAAAAACGCACTGTGCACTGGCGCAGGAAGAAGACAGCCAACGCCGCCCGTTGCACCTGGAAATGTGAGGAACGCACCAAAAGAGTTTGAAACAGGATTTCCATTTAAGGATATGGCAGAAGTGTACATACACTAAGTGGCACTTTGCAATGGCAAGGCAGCAAACAGTCACACCATCGATTGACAGCAGGCATTGCACATGTGAGCTGTTGCAAGCAAGTGGGGAACAAGAAAAACATGAAAAATGCAAGGCAATACCGCTAGTAACCATCACGTCAACACTTGTTTGAAGCAGTTTCAACTCCCAATTCGCCAAATACGGAGTCAGCACTTCCCTCTCAACTCCCAATGAGTTAGTAAACCAAGAACCAGCCAGCAACAATGGCACCACAGCTCACCTCGTGGCCCATTTCAAACATCTCCGCAGCATCCAGCCGCGCTGCCCTTCCCCTTCCCCCTCGCTCTCCGCCTCCCCTATGCCCCCCTCCACTCCCCTCATTATCCCCCTCCTCCTTGACCTTTCCGTGCCTTGACACCTTCCCTCTCTCCCCCTTCTTTTCCTCCTCATCTCCCTCTTCTCCCTCCTCCGCCTTGACCTCCCCTTTCCCCCTCATTCCCCCCTCATCCTCCGCTCCCCTCCGCTTCCGCCGCTTCCGCGCCGGCTCCCCGGCACCTCGCTGTCCTCGGCGGCCCGAGTGCAGCTTCCGCCATCCGCGCAGCATTCCCGCGAGCCGCTTAATATCCGCGGCCACCGCGGCCGGCTCCAGCAGCGACACGTACTCCGCCAGTCGCGGTGCGAGCTGCGGGTTGAGCACTGCCCGCGACGCGGGGATTCGATCGAAAGCCATGCGATCTTGCATACGCGTTATGCGGTCAGAATCTAGGTTTCAAGTGACCAGAGTGAAATTAGAGTGAAAGTAATAACGGCGGCTGATCAGGGTCCAGACTCGCTACGCATCGCGCATTGCACGAAGGAGCCACTAATTATCTAGGAGGGTCTATGACCTCTCGTCTAAAAAGCAGAATCTCTCATAATCGTATACGATCAGTGCTTATGATACGAGAGAACAAGGAATGCGGGACATGCGGAGAGTTGAAGCAGACTCAGGTGCTTACTGTATGGTTTCTGCAGGTTGAAGTACTCGCTACAGAATGCCTCACGAGATTGAACAAAAGGAACTTAGCAGGAACAGTTCGAAGATTTTACTTCGAGTTCATTTACCCGCATTTCGCTGCTCTATTCGCCCGTCTCGCCAAACGAATTGGGCTTTTGATCACACTGCCTTGGCCATTCCGTCTCACTTTACTCTTGGGAAGGATTGGGGATTGCAGATTCGGACATTCCACACACACTCACGCTCTCTCTCACCACCCACATTCACACTCACGTTCTACCACTTCCACGCTCTCTCTCACGCATTCTGAGAACAAGCCGAGAACCAAGCCTCAGCGAGTCAGAGTTGCGTTGGATTAGGGACGTTGAAGCATTGCAGTCTCCGTGTACTGCTTCTAGAAACGTCGAACCGTACTAACGCCATCAGCAATTCTCGAGAATGTCTCACCATTCGTTACCCTCTCCTCGTGCTGACTTCAACGATCCCTCGGTGTCGCCACGCCCTCCTCGGGTGCTGCTCGTCGGGAATCTCTGTCACGACGCTATCACGCTGAAATCGGGGAAAACGGTCGAGGCGTTAGGCGGCTCGGTCGCGTACATCTCGCGCGTGCTCGACGCAGTCGGTGTGACGTCGCAATCCGTCGCAAAGGTCGGCTCGGATTTCAAGTACTGTGACGCGCTGGGCCCGAATTGCCGGCCGGTAGTGGTGGGTGGGGACGAGTCGGAGAGAAGGGGGTCAAACGGCCCTGCAGGGACAGCAGCAGCCAAGACGACCAAATTCTTCGCGGATTTCACTGGTGATGGGTCGCCATGGTTTAGTCCCCATTTCTAACGTGCCGTTCTGATCTCCCACATGCTGAGTCATTCTCCTAAAAGTACCTGATTTTCATTCCATTTGCGTCATTCCATTCCCACTTATTTCTTCCTTTAACTCCTTTCTTTCCTGGTTCCCCCCTATCAAATTATAACTGAACGTTCAGGCTCTGACCGCGTGCTTACAGCAGGCCACGTGTGCGAAGCCATAGAACCAGCAGATCTCCCCAGCTTCTCATGCTCATGTCCTTGCCCATGCGGATGCCAAGATTCATATCCATTGGCGAATCCTCATCCTGATCATCCCACTCCACCTGATGCTGCTGCCACTTCCGCTGGGGAGGACTGTGACTATAACAAAAGTGACTTAAGACGACCAGTTGGTGGTCAGAGTGCAGGAAGCTGCTCTCACGAGCCGATGTTTGATGTGGGAGTGGCTGCTGGTGTGGCGGGGGAGGTTCCACCAGCAACAGTGCGACACATTGCAGAAATCTCACGCCATACGGTGGCGGATCTACAGGTACCATGGCATGATAACCGAACATGGGACATAATTTACTACCTCTATACATCCTGTGATGTTTCTGTCTATTCATTTCTTTGCTCCAGTGAGTCACACTTCACCTGTTCACTCATGTGTTTTCTGCCCTTTCCCTACCCATTCAGTCGATGGTGCGTGACATTGATCCTGTGACAGGGGCTGTTGAATTGCTGCATCTTGAGAAGACCTCTTTTATGGGTCTCCTTCCGCGGATATCATATCTTAAGGTGCTGCACTGTTCCGTGTGCATACCTGGCACTCCATAGTACATTAGAGCAAGCTTTAAGAGTGTTGCAAGGTTATCGCATATTCTTATTGTAATAAGTGCTGTAGTATTTCTGCTCATCCGTATGCATCTTACCACCCATGAGCATCGTTTTTCTCCGTTTCCTCTCACGCCCTGCATGTCTCCAGGTCGCCAGTCATGAAGCTGCTTTCCTGGATATCAAGAAATGTGCTCAGCTGCTTGGCACAGCCCCGGCTAGGAATGCGGTAGAGAAATGCAATGGTAGTACAGATAATACCATTGGAGGAGCTGTGCTGCTGACTCAAGCTGAAAAAGGGTGTACAGTCATCACAAGGTAGGGACATACAATGCCTCATTACGCAATGGTGGTAATGTGCCATGTCAGTGTCTAATTCTGGTTCCGTTTACCAAAACCATTGTTGTGTGACGGATTCCGTTCCTCCCTCGTATTGCAGAGACAGAGAATTCGTGGTCCCCTCATTTCCTGCTGTGGAAGTGGATTCCACAGGTGCAGGTGATTCATTCATGGCAGGCTTCATTACAGGCCTGTGCTTAAATCGATCACTAGAGCAGGCAGTGCAGATGGGCTCATTCTTTGGCAGCATAGCTGTCGAGCAGGTTGGAGTGCCAATCATAGCACCGTCAATTGTTGCTCGATGGCAATCAGCCTTCAATGTAGACACATGATATGCATTTGTTTCTTCATATGCCATGGGAGTAGAAAGACCGAACTCAGGATGCATCCAGGCCAGCGTGGCTAGAAGGATGAATTGGAACGAGGGTATTAAAACCGGGGTGCACATTCAGCTGAATGTGCATCAAAGGTTATCCCTTGACTGAGTGGGTTACGAGGTGTGCTTTCAACCCCTTCAAGTCGAAATTCGTTTCCCCCCTCCCCCGCAATTTCGTTTCCCCACGCCCCCGCAATTTCATTTCCCCCTCCCCGTCGAAATTCGTTTCCCCCCTCCCCCGCAATTTTGTTTCCCCCCTCCCCCGCAATTTCGTTCCCCCCCCCTCCCGCCAATCTGTTTCATCCCTCCCGCCATTCGGTTTCACCCACTCCCGCCATTTCACCCCCTCCCGCCACCTACGAAATGCCCGAAGCTCTAGCGGAATCATTTTTTTGTCGCCCCTCGTGAGCCAATCACTGTTTTTCTCCAAACCCCCTTCCCAACATCTCAAGCCGAACCGCGTTGAATGTGCACCCTGGTTTTAAGAACGCGAAGTCAACGGCCCAAATGTCTACCAAATCTCCCTACGGTAGGCAGTGGAGGACCCCAATCCCCAATTAACCGTTACAGCTTCTGCTTTGTACGATATGAGTTTTTTTTGCAAAAAATGGAAATGTTACGGTACTACACCTAGCAATTTCTCGCCCCTGTTAGACCCAGAATCTCCCGGAATTCTTGATAACCCCGCGCTTATGTGGAAGCCTCTCGTTTCTCCAACATTCGAATCGGACGGTGGAAAGCCCGCGAAGCCTCTCGCAGCCTCCAGTGTGAAGTTTCGACAGCCAGCTGCTGCTCGCGGCGCCACGATCTGCTGGAAGCATCTAGAAAGTTTCGTGATGGACGGACAGGGAAGGCCTTCCCCAGCGGATTGGCAAGACAGAGAGCACCGTTGATAAAGCTCCTCCCCCCTCACACCAGCAGACATCTCAAATCTACAAATAGCTAAGCATGCAATTGCTTCAACAGATCTCAGTTTCCAGCTGAGAATTTTGCCTACTCCTCAGCTCCTTTGCAAAGCCCTCTTTCAGCGCACCCAATAACTCCTGCTTACAATTTAGACGCGATGGCCGCGAAGGGAGAAGGTCCCGCTATTGGTATCGATCTCGGTACCACCTACAGCTGTGTCGGTGTGTGGCAGCACGATCGCGTTGAGATTATCGCCAACGACCAGGGTAACCGCACCACCCCCTCCTATGTCGCCTTCACCGACTCGGAGCGTCTCATTGGCGATGCTGCGAAGAATCAAGTCGCCATGAACCCCATCAACACAGTTTTCGGTGAGTCCAAATGACTTTATGATTTAAACGTGATGATATAATCCAAGGCCTTTCACACACCGATGATTCAAATTGTTGATGATTACAGAGACCGAACATTGAACTCATTTGTTATGGTTTTCTTATACTGCGCAGATGCCAAGCGTTTGATCGGGCGTCGGTTCTCCGATGCTCCCGTTCAGAGCGACATCAAGCTGTGGCCGTTCAAGGTCACCTCAGGACCCGGCGAGAAGCCCATGATTGAGGTGCAGTACAAGGGTGAGACCAAGGTTTTCGCTGCGGAGGAGATCTCTTCCATGGTGCTCATCAAGATGAAGGAGATCGCTGAGGCTTACCTCGGAAGCACCATCAAGAACGCCGTCGTTACCGTCCCTGCTTACTTCAACGACTCTCAACGACAAGCCACGAAGGACGCGGGTGTCATCGCGGGCCTGAACGTCCTCCGTATCATCAACGAGCCCACTGCTGCTGCTATCGCTTACGGTCTTGACAAGAAGGCGACGAGCACCGGCGAGAAGAACGTTCTTATCTTCGATCTTGGCGGAGGAACCTTCGATGTGTCGCTGCTGACGATCGAGGAGGGTATCTTCGAGGTGAAGGCGACTGCTGGAGACACTCACTTGGGCGGTGAGGACTTCGACAACCGACTGGTGAACCACTTCGTTCAGGAGTTCAAGAGGAAGTACAAGAAGGACATCACTAACAACCCCAGGGCTCTCCGTCGTCTCCGTACTGCCTGCGAGCGTGCTAAGAGAACTCTTTCTTCGACGGCGCAGACTACCATTGAGATCGACTCTCTGTACGAGGGTATCGACTTCTACTCCACAATCACCCGTGCCAGATTCGAGGAGCTCAACATGGACATGTTCCGCAAGGTTAGTTCCTCCATTTCTTCCCAATCAGTCTATTGTCCTTGTACCGTTTGTTCAATTTGGAGGTTCATGGTTCTGATTTATGGTTTTAATTTATCCAACTTCTGAGCCTTGTACTTCTGATTTTCCTCCCCGCACTTGTACTTCGAATAGTAGTCCTAATTCTCTTTGCTCTTCCTGCGTTGCAGTGCATGGAGCCAGTTGAGAAGTGCCTCAAGGATGCCAAGATGGACAAGGGTGCGATCCACGACGTGGTGCTCGTTGGCGGGTCCACGCGTATTCCCAAGGTGCAGCAGCTCCTGCAGGACTTCTTCAACGGCAAGGAGCTCTGCAAGAGCATCAACCCCGACGAGGCCGTGGCGTACGGCGCGGCCGTGCAAGCGGCTATACTCAGCGGCGAGGGCAACGAGAAGGTGCAGGACCTGCTGCTGCTCGATGTTACTCCCCTGTCACTGGGTCTGGAGACTGCTGGCGGTGTCATGACCACTATCATTCCCAGAAACACTACTATCCCCACGAAGAAGGAGCAGGTGTTCTCTACCTTCTCCGACAACCAGCCTGGTGTGTTGATCCAGGTGTTCGAGGGTGAGCGCGCCAAGACCCGGGATAACCATCTGCTCGGCAAGTTCGAGCTGTCCGGCATCCCCCCTGCTCCCCGCGGTGTCCCTCAGATTACCGTCTGCTTCGACATTGACGCTAACGGTATTCTGAACGTCAGTGCCGAGGACAAGACTACCGGCCAGAAGAACAAAATCACGATCACCAACGACAAGGGTCGCCTCAGCAAGGATGAGATTGAGAAGATGGTTCAGGACGCGGAGAGGTACAAGGAGGACGACGAGCAGCACAAGAAGAAGGTTGAGGCGAAGAACTCCCTTGAGAACTACGCCTACAACATGCGCAACACCATCAAGGACGACAAGATCGCCAGCAAGCTTGACGCTGATGACAGGAAAAAGATAGAGGACGCCGTGCAGTCGACCATTGACTGGCTCGACCAGAACCAGCTGGGTGAGGTCGATGAGTTCGAAGACAAGATGAAGGAGCTGGAGGGCATCTGCAACCCCATAATTGCCAGGATGTACCAGGGAGCGGGTGGCGCTCCTCCTGAGGCTGATATGGATGGCGCTGGTGCCGGATTTGCCGGAGGTGCTTCCGGTGGTGGTGGATCTGCTGGGCCCAAGATTGAGGAGGTCGACTAATTCGAGAAATCCAGCTGATTGTTCGTTTAATCTTTTGAGACAGAAACATTCAAAATTTTAAGTCATTCATTGCGTTCAGTACAGAAACACACCAGAAACCCTCAATTGGGCTCAGAAACCCTCAATTGCGTTCAGTGCATAACATATTCTAACTGGCAATTAGTATCCAGAGGTGAACTGCTACCAGAGTCAAGATTTAGGTAATGCTGCAAGATGCATCATTGCACTTGAACCACAATTTCATCATCCACGCAATTTCTCTGGTCACTGAAAGCTCCAACTGGATGACTGTATCATTGGTAAAAGTACCTTTCCAAGCAATATGTCATGTTGAGTGAACTGTGCTCGAAACAACGGGCCTGAACGGTGAATATGCTGTTTCTGCTGTAATGTTCACCCAGCGAACAGAACCTCAGTCAGGCCGGCGGGAAAGCTTATTTCCTAGTCAGGCCGACTCCGATCCCATCTGGTCCTGACCTCATCTTACCCGGAAATCCGCCGTTATCTAGCCTCAGTCCGTACTGTAATCTGGCCGAGTGGTAACGTAACGTCGCGGCCTACCATGGATGCTTATGTCAAATTTATATATAGATTACATTTGTGTAGGCTGTAGTGGGGTAGCCCATAAGGGGTACAACCCAATTAGGGTTAGTACTTGTACCCAACTGTTTCATAGTTCAATTCATTCTCGTTCATTCTCTTGACATGGTTTCAGAGCAGGTCCTCTGCTAGGACCGTTTTTTTTTTTTTTTTGGCCCACCACTGCACTGCTCCTAGCGACCCTCGTGTCGCCCCTTGGCCCGTCGCCCCTAGGCCCGTCGCTCCTAGCCCGGCCCGTAGGCCCTAGCTAGAGCGCCCCTAGGCCCGTCGACCCCTAGCCCGCGCCCCGGCCCATCGACCCCTAGCCCGCGCCAGGCCCCGTCGACCCCTAGCCCGCGCCACGGCCCCGTCGACCCCTAGCCCGCGCCCCGGCCCCGTCTGTTGGGCTGAGAAAGCCCTTAGGATCTTTGCAGGGCAGAACTCAAGGGTAGGATGATGTAATAGCGGAAGCGTTTAATAAATGATTGTGAACCACCTTGCGCTTGTATGTGAGGGCAAAGTAAGTTAATAATAATAAAAGAGATACAAGCTTTTATAAGAATACAAAGGAGTATGAAGAGATACAGTTAACTGTTTTACTGTTGCTGTTGCGGTTCGATATAGTGTCGACTCGGGCAACTGCTCAGTATCGAGACAGTTGTTTGTCCTTGCTGTCGCGCTGCATTTGTCGGGTCAAAGGTCGCTGACCTTTGACTTTCGCGTAACCTCCAACAGTTGTTCAACCTCCGAGGGTTGACTCACCGATATTTCGATACGAGCTGCTTCACTTCTGTCTTGGTGTTTCGACACGACAGAGGCGCCTAAATCAGTTGTTTCCAACACTCCCCTTCGCTTCTGGAGTGTCGCTGCAAGTGACGTGGCTCTGTCCAGTCAGCAGCATGCAATATTCGAACTTCGACTTTCCGAGTTTCTTGGTCAAGTAATCAGCTGCCATCTCGGATGTGGGGCAGTAAGACAGCTCAAGTCTCCCCTTCTCGATCTCGTCCTTTACGAAGAAATATCGCAGGGTGATATGCTTCGTCCTGTTCGCAAATCCATTTTTGTTGGCTATGCGAATTCCCGACTGGTTGTCGCAAAATAGGGAGAAGCTGGGTAATTGGGCCAGCTTTGCTTCCTCCAGAAGTTCGCGAAGGTAGAGTCTTTCCTTGGTGGCTGAGCAAAGTGCGATATATTCAGCTTCAGCTGAAGAAAGGGCGATTAATTCCTGTTTGCTCGACTGCCATGAAATAGGTCCGATAGGCTCGAGACGGTAGATGTAGCCTGTGCGCGAGCGCCTGTTGTCAGAATCTCCGGCGTGATCGGCGTCGACGTAGCCGATTAGCTTGGGCGTTGTAGTTATATTCTTGTAGTAGGTTAGGCCGATCGTCGAGGTGCTTACGAGATAGTGTAAAGCGCGATCGAGCTCCTTCATGTGTTCGTCTTCAGGTCTTTTGAGGTAGGTGGCGAGTTGACTTGCTGAGTAAGATAGGTCTGGACGGCAGGTGACGGCCGCGAAGAGAAGGCATCCTAGCTTTCTCTGGTAGTTGCGTATGTCGGCGGGTTTCAGTGGAGCAGATTCTGCTTTGTCATTTCCTGCCGTGTAGCGGTATGGCGTGGAGATGGTAGTTGGCGTGAGTGCGAACCGTTTGGCGATGGTGTCGGCATACTTTGCGGTGTTGAGATAGATCGCGTCTTCTCCTTCTTGGATGTTGAGGCCGAGGTATTGCGTGACGGTAGATGAAACCGTGAGGGTGAGATCTTTTTGTAGCTCCCCTTCGAACCAGGTAGTAATGTCAGAATCCCAACCACTAGACCATTGGGATAAAAGGGCTTGTTTCAGTAGCGGGTCAGTGCGCCCATAACCCCCCAGGCAAACGCGTCTGTAACCCCCCCTAGGATCGATCGGGGATCTCACAGTGTAGCTCTACTGACACCCCCCCACACTGGGAGGCCCAGGACTGAGCACAGTGGCAATGGCCAACATGTGCATACACCGGGATTCGAACCCGAGACCGCTCTGATACCATGTCAGAATCCCAACCACTAGACCATTGGGATAAAAGGGCTTGTTTCAGTAGCGGGTCAGTGCGCCCATAACCCCCCAGGCAAACGCGCCTGTAACCCCCCCTAGGATCGATCGGGGATCTCACAGTGTAGCTCTACTGACAAGTAACGTTGTCGGTCGACCCGATGTAAAGCAGATCGTCTACGTAGACGATTAGTAGAATGTAGTCGTCGTCTTTCGTAAATCGATACATGCCTTGGTCGTGCGGCAGCTGCTTGAATCCGATGCGAGTGAGCCGAGCGTGCAAGTACTGCTGCCACAGTCTCGGGGCCTGTTTAATCCCGTACAGAGATTTTTGCAGTTGACAGACTTGATTGGGCTCTCCGTGAGAACCATGTGGGAGTTCGACGTAGATCTCTGCGTCGACGGGTGCGTAGAGAAAAGCATTGGCGACGTCAATTTGCCGCAGTTACTTCTTTTTTCATAGCGGCGACCGCGAGAAGAATCCGCAGTGAAGTATGTCGACTAACCGGTGCGAATGTCTCAGTGAAATCGCGTCCGTGCTCTTGGTCGAAGCCGCGTACGACCCAGCGTGCCTTGAACTTGTCGATGGTGCCATCTGCTTTTGTCTTCACACGGAAGACCCACTTCCCGGTGAGTATTGTCTTGTTTCGTGCCACGCCGATAGGAACCACTTTCCAGGTGTTGCGCTCCTGTAGTGCTTTCAGTTCCTTGTCCATGGCTTCACGCCATTTTTCCTTATGTTCCCCCCCAGAGCCTGCTGAACTGTGGCAGGCTCCTTAGGTGTATCCGTGCCGTGGACCGCGGTGACGAGACCAAGTATCTGAAGGCCACTCTGTGTGTAGCGGGGGAGTGTTGTGTCCGCGGGATAAGCTGCTTCGTCTCCTGATTCTGGGTCAGGTATGAAGTTGGGCCCTATGCGTTCGGCTTCGTTGGTGTTGACTTCTGCAGGTGTAACGTAACCAGTGTCGGCGAGGTCGAAATAAGTTTCGGCGTTGACACTTTCGCGAGGATTTTCGTCATCCATCGGGATGGGCACAGAACAGTAAGGGAGTGGTCCTGCTTCTTCCGAGGCGTTATCCACGTTCTGCTCGTCCCAGTCAGCTTCGTCTGCTGCCGAGGCGAAGTGTCGGTCACCACGGAAGCCACCTGTGGGATCCTGATTTTCTTCCAGGTTGGCAAGGTATGTCGGAAGGGTGAGTCGTTCGTAGAAAATGACGTCACGTGCTGCTACTGTTTCTTTGGAGTGGACGTCGAAAATCTTCCACGCGTTGTAATTTCTTTCGATGCCCAGGTGTAGTCCCCACTGTTGGGAAAATCGGCCGGCTCGTGCAGATGGGGGTCGGTACTGTACCATGCAGCCGAAAACTCTTAACATTTTTGTGCTGCCCTGTTTTCCTGTCCACAGCAGGTGCGGTGATGCGTTGTTCGGTAATGACGACGAAGAAAGCAAGTTGTGCAGCATGACAGCGTGGTCCATCGCTTCAGGCCACTGGTGATTGGGCAGTCGCATGCCACGCAGTAGTTTGCGCATGGTGTTCTGGAGGGTTCGGTTCATCCGTTCCGCCACGCCTTGCTGTTGATGGGCGTAAGGAAGCGAGATGAGCCTTTTGATTCCCTTTTCTGCCAAGAACTGCTTGAACCGCTGTGAGGTGTATTCTCCTCCTCCGTCTGACTGAAATCTTTTCAGTTTCTCGCCTGATTCTCGTTCTGCTACTGGGAGCCAAGCGATGAAGGCTTCGAAGGCCATGCCCTTGCTCGGGAGATTAAGGTGCCAAACGTAACGTGTAGCGGCATCGATGAAGGTGATGGTGTAGCTGTATGCTCCTTGTCCAGGTTCGCGGTTGTACAAGATGTCGCTGTAAACTTTCTCAAGTGGTGCATAAGCTGGTGCGCTGGGGTTGTGGTGCGAAGTAAATGGCCGATGTAGTAAGTCTGCTTCGGGGCAGGTAAAGCACGTTCCTCGTGCTCGTCGAAGTTCACTTCCGTCCGTTAGGAGTAGTGAATCCTTGTCGAGTACGCCTGCTAGGATTGTATTGTTTAACACCGTGTTGCTTGGGTGTCCCATTCGTGCGTGCCAGATGTCTTCGCTGGCGCGATGTCCGGGTGAACGACGATACAGATCGGAGTTGGAGTAAAAGGCGGCGGTGAAGTTGGCGCTTCTGTGAACTTCGCGAGGAGTGGGAGTTAGCTGCTGCGCAGGAGTTGGTGAAGTATTATCGATGTGTGGCGATGTTGAAGAACTTGCGACTGGTGTTGTAAGTGTTGTTGGAATTGCCGATGGTTCTGCTGCTGCCGATGTTGTTTCTGCTGCTGCCGATGTTGTTTCTGCTGCTGCCGATGTTATTTCTGCTGCTGCCGAGTGTTGAATTGTCGCTAATGCTCGTGTTCGTTC